CTACATGCCATTGGGTTACAATGTCTTCTTTTAACAATGACTAAGGGGAAAACCACAACAATAGAAGGTATCAACAGAGCCACAATCAATGCTTCATGTGGACTTTGATGTTTTACATCAATCTGGATAATCGGGAAAGAGAAAACTGTCATTCCTTCAAGTGAAAATAGGGAACAAGGGATGGCAAGATGGCTCAGCAGGAAGAGGCACTAGCTGTCTACTCTGAGGACCTATGTTGGAGGAGGCCACTTGTTTGTCCCAGCAGCCCAGAACCAAAATAACCACACAGAAACTATATTATTTGAAGCACTACTTGGCCCAATAGCTTTAACTTCTTATTGGCTAACTCTTACATGTTAATATAGCCCATTTCTACTAATGTGTGTATCACCACGTGATTGTGACTTACAGGCTAAAGTTTCAACGTTTTTCTCTCTGGAGGCAGCTCCATGGCTTCTCTCTGACTCTGATTCCTTTCCCCCATCATTCACGTTAGTTTCTCCTGCCTAGCTCTTTTTGCCCTGCTCAGCTATAGGCTCAAAGCTGTCCTTTGTTAACCAATGCTATTCAAAGTATACAGAGGGGAATCCCATATCACCTCCCTTTTCTATTTAAATAAAAAAGGAAGTTTTTACTGGGTTAGATCTGTGGGGGCTGCTATGGTAGAAGACAAAAACAAATTCCTGAAAATTGTACTTTGACCTTCACATCTACATTGTGGAACACAAAAGTCTATTGAGTTTAATCTAAAAATGGTAAAAGAGAGGAAAACGAGATGTACAGAACACATATTCTGTGCCCAGTGAAAATTTCTCTGCTTAATTTTTTAATTGTGTTTTCAAGTTATCCTCCACATATTAATAACAATAGGAAGAATGGATCATCATATTCTTAGGAAGGTATTTCCCAAAATATTTTCCCTGCTCAATTCCCTGAACAAAATATCTGTTTCAATTTCTCTGCTTTGTCAAAGCTGTGTTGACCCAAGACACCAATCTATCATTGGACACAATTCAAAAATCCCACAGGGTTTTCCAAAACAGAAATGACAACAAACAGTTCATGTCTAGACAGTTAGCTGGCTCATAGAGAAATATCTGAATTTATAAGAAATAAAAATGGGGATGGATATACAAGATATACAAGAGTGTAGCTCTCTGGCTCTTTTAGGCAGCAACACTTGTTGAAGAGTCTGCTAGGTAGCTTAACTTATGGGGGTTATCTTTCAGAAGTCCTTACTACTTATGTGTGATTTGGGGAGGTAGGGTTCCTTGAGAATCTGATCAGTTTCTCTGAAAGATGGAATATTTGACCTTTTTTTGTTTTTAGAACATCCTCTATCTTAAGAGCTTCACTCAACACTGCTGCACAACAACTGTGTAGAGAGAAAAAATCAATTACCGAGATGGAAGTCTATTTTTTGTCTTTTATTTTTAAATAAAATTTTATTTAGCATACAAAGAAATTGGTTTCATTGCAACATCTTTATACTTATACCACACTTTATTTGTTCCTAACTTTTAAAGTTGCATTTTGTTAATTTCACTTGCCTATATCTAGGTATGTATGTGTAGGTCGTCACCTATTTTCCCCAGCCTCCCCATCTATATCTCACTGGTCCTGAAGTCGTCAATTCTGCTTCCATGAGAACTTATATGTTCATGATCTTTCTTAAAGAAAGCGGTGACTAAAATGTTATCACAGGCACAGCTTGTCATTTCCAAAAGAATACCCCACCCACCACCCCACACAAAACAACCGGCCTACTAACTCATTGAAAATTGAGTCAAGGTTCAGCTCAATCTGGACTATAAGGGGATTTCTGACAATTAATAAATACCAGCATTCCTCACCTCAGAAACTTGGAAAAGTGAGCTTCATCTTCCAAAAGGAGCATTTTCTTTAGCTATGGCAGAAGGGACATAAGGCTTTCCAATTGACGTGTATCTAAGGCACCTGTCATAATCAAAATCCATACTAACCTTCAGGCTCCCTTGGCTCCTACTCAGAAGTAGTTCTTAAACATTTCAAAACTCCCTTCTACTTCATAAACTCTCATCCTTCAAGATACTTGTTCTCCTTATAACTCTTCAGACTTTTTCCCATATTGCATCTCACTGTTTTCCCAAGAGACATTCTTGACAGTTTGCAGTAAATACTCTCTGTTCCATGCATGAAGTGGCCACTTTGGTTTTTTTACCATGCTTCTCATGTGCATCTGGTAGAGGGATATATGGTTCTATTGACATACACTTGTGACTGTATATCAAGCCTGTGATGACCTCCAGGCTGCCTCCATATCATAGTTACCTATTATACGCTTCAAAATCCATATAACTCTAGTTATAAAAATTACATGGTATTGGCATTAAAAACAGACAGGTTGATCAATGGAACTGAATCTAAGATCCAGATATAAGTACACACATCTATGGACACATGACTTTTTAAAATAAGGCAAAATATATAAAATGGAAAAAAGTATATTCATCAAATGGTGCTGGTTTAAGTGGATATCGGCATGTAGAAGAATGCAAGTAGATACACATTTATCATCCAGCACAAAACAAAGTGAATCAGAGACCTCAACATAAGACTGGATACATTGGACCTAATAGAAAAAGTGGGAAATAGTCTTGAAAGTATTGGTACAGGAGACAACTTCCTAAATAGAACACTGTTAGCATAGGCACTAAGATCACAATTAATAAATGCGATCTAATGAAACTGGAAAGCGTCTGTAAGGCAAACAACACCATCAATAGCACAAAATGGAAGCCTACAGAATGGGAAAACCTATTTTCACCAACTCCACCTCTGGCAGAGGTCTAATACCCAAAATATATAAAGCAATCAAAAATTAAACACAAATAAACCAAATAACCCAATTTAAAATGGTGTATAGATTTAAACAGAGAATTCTCAACAGAAGAATCTCAAATTGCCAAGAAACAGTTTTAAAAATTGCTTAACATCCTTAGACATCTTGGAAATACAAATCAAAATGACTCTGGGATTTCATCTTGCCCTGTCAGAATAGCTAAGAGCAAAAACACAAGCGACATTTCTTGCTTGAGAGGATGTGTAGCAAGAGGACACTCTCCCATTACTGGTGGGTGGGCAAATTTGTACAGCCACTTTGGAAATCAATATATGGTGGATTCTCAGAAAACTGAAAATTGATCTACCTCAAGACCCTCCTATACCACTCCTTGGCATATAACCAAAGGACACTATACCCTACCACAAGAATATTTGTTCAACTTAGGTTCAAGAGCTAATGTGGAATTTCCCTCTGTATACTGTGATTATCATTGATAAATAAAGGAATTGCTTTGGGCCTATAACAGAGCTATAGGAGAACAGAGACAGGTGGTGGAAACTAAGCTGAATGCTGGGAGAAAGGAGGCAGAGTCAAGTGAAGCCCTGGAGCTGCCAATGGAGACAGACATGCTAAAACTTTACTGGTAGGCCACGACCTCATGGTGATGCACAGATTAATGGAGATGGGTTAAATTAAGATGTAGATGTAAGAGTTAGACAATAAGAAGCTAGAGTTAATGGGCTAGACAGTGATTTAATTAATACAGTTTTTGTGTGATTATTTCGGGGCTAAGCAGTCGGGAATAGAAACAAATGGCAGCGTCCTCCTACACACAACAGCTTTGTTCATACTAGCCAAAGACTGAAAACAACATAGATGTCCCTCAACCTAAGAATTTTAAAGAAATTGTGCTTCATTTATACAATGGAATATTACTCAGCTGTTGAGAAATAAATAAGTAAACAAATAAATAAAGAACATTATGAAATTTGCAGGCAATTGAATAGAACTAGAAAATAATCATCCAGAGTGAGGTTACTCAGACCCAGAAAGACAAACACGGCATATACTTACATATAAGTGGATAATAGCTTTAAAGTAAAGGAAAATCATGCTACAATCCACAGATCCAGAAAGGTTGAGTAACAATGACGAGTAACAATCCAGAGAGGTTGAGTAACAATGAGAGGAGGGCGTGGGACACATGAATCTCCCTGGGAAGGTTAGATAGGTTCCTTGGGTGGACTGGACTGGATGCAGATGGTGACAGGAAGGATTATGTAGTGGAAAAGAGATAGAGGGAGAGAATACTGGAAGAAACAAGTAGAATTGGTGGGCATCTCATTGGTAAGCTAGAAACTCATTGCAATGGAAACTCCTTGAAATCAAGTAGTAATATTGGGAGATACAGATTCTGAACCAACCATCTTGTGCAACCAGGCTAGGCTTCCACTGGATGGACTGGGACACCAACCCAGCCACAAAATCTTTGTCTTACAATGAGCCCTGACCTAAAGATGTGCTAGGCCAACATGGAACAAAAGGTCTGGGAATGACCAACCAATGACTGATACAATTTGAGGCCCATGCCACAAGAAGGAACCTAACCCTGACATTATCTAGAGGGTCAAGACCCAGAGGCTGGATAGCCCAGACACCTAGGACAGAACCAATAGGACTGGAAAAAATAATGTCAAAGGTCAAGGGACACCATAAGAACAGGGAAAATAAAATAAACTAACCAGAGCTCATACACTCTTTAGTCCCTTGTTTTGGACTTGACCTATCGTGTTACACTGTAACAGATCCTCCCTGTTTTTGTAGCATGCGCATTCAAATGTAGGCTGTGGAGAGCTTGTACAGGATACAGCTGCCCTCAATGGCTATGATGTATGCCATCCATGTTCATAGGTATTTAAACTATTCTTAACATTTTATGTTAATATGCCAAATGAGAGTGAAATAGAAAATAAAGCATTGAAAATACTTTAAATATAATTTACCTGGAAAGTAAATTGGATTAACCAAAATAACAACCGCTATTATGTAAAATTGCTGCTTTCAAGCAACGGAACTTGAGTCACCATGGGAAACAAAAATAGAGCCAGGGAAGGGTTGATTTCTCTTTTTTAACATTGATCACTAACCAATCACTTTCTCTGCTTCTCACATACAGATACCCCACCACGTGAAGCCCTTGCCATATTACAGTTACGACCAACCAGTGATTGGGTACTGCCAGGCCCACCAGCCTCTCCACATCAACAAGGCCTATGAAGCTGTGTCCATAGATCAAGATGACAGCCCCAGCCTGGAACTTGGGAGAGACCACAGCTTCATCGCCACCATAGCCAGGTCGGCTGCACCTGCCATTTATCTGGAAAGAATAACAAACTAACAACAAAGCCAACTTCTTAATAAAGAGCTCATAAGAGAAGGGAAGTCTTCATCGCAAAAGAGATGAAATGTCCAGCATTCTCCAACCTCAAGAGTTCTTTGCTTCTGTACAGAAATTTAGGGCATAGTGAGAAAAACAAAGCAAAACAAAACAAAACAAAAACTGCTTATGAGGTTGGGCAGCTGGCGAACCTACCACCAACCCGGGAGAACACAGAACTTTCTTTGCTTTAAAATATAAAATAAACACATGTACTCCCGGATGTAAATAGTCAAGAGTGCTAAGTTCTTATAAAAATAGATTTCATCCTAGCTATCTATAGGTTTGTTTGTATATTTGATTTTTCTACACTGCATGGTTCCTGGGCTGGAGAACCACAGGGGGGAGGGGGCAGATTTTGGGGAAACAATGCCGTTTTCCTTGTAAGGTGTGCATAACACTCACAGACCTTGTTTCCAATGTCTTCATTTTGTTTATCCTTTAAAATCTGGTTTTATTCTTTTGTTTATTTTTTTTAATTTCCTGGAGGAATGACTTTCTACTTTTAAATATAAGTACTTACTTGGCACCAAAATATTTAGGTTTGCACTGACCTAAAGTGAAAAACAAATGACCACAGCATTGAACAAACTACTGGACTGAGTTTAATAAATCAAACTCCTAAAGTGTCCACTCCTTCAGTGCACGTCATCAATGGCGTTAGGAGCCCTGGCTTATTCCTCCATCGGTATTCATCATAGAAGGAAACCTGGTACCCAGACCTGTGAGTACCTGGAGTGGAGAAGAACCTGAGAACCACCCTCAGTGGAGGGAGGGTCTCTATAAACAATGGACAGGAGTCCAGTGGATGAATATGTCAAGGGATGAATTTCTAAACACAACAAGATGTGTAATATTGCTTTTAAAATTAATTATCACTTAGCTTTTGTGTAATTTTTATCAATAAAAGAAAAATGTTGAAAAATAAAATACATTATTTTGCGGTTGGTATGCCATAATGCATATTCACATGTGTAGAATATTCCTATTTGGTGTCAGAGTAATGTTGTAGGAGTCTATCAATGGTTTCCTCTGTGGCCCATGGTCAGGTAGAGAAGCATCAATAATTGTAGAAAATATATCTGAAATGAAGCTAAGGTAGCAATGTGTTTAAAATTTTATTTAGAGGTCTTCTTACTCTAAAATGTATCAGGCAACATGAAAGAAATGTGTCAGTGGGAGAATTAAAGACTGTATAACTTTAGAGCAAAAACAAAGTCATGTGGGAATTAGTAACTACATAGCAAAGTACAGAGCAATTGTTTTTAAAATCATCTCTCAATGGAGATAATGGGGACTGGAAAGAAGGCTCAGTAGTTAAGAATGTCTTCTGCTTCTGCAGATGAACCCATATCTGGCTATTGGCAATCACCTATTATTTAGCTGCAAGGGAATCCACCACTCTATTCTGGCCTCCATAGGTACATGAACATAGATATACTATTCACTCATAAAAATACACATATACACATAAAAAGTAAATTAAAGTAATACAAAGGCCTAATGATGCAGCTATCAGTAAGTCACATGATTTTCTACTTGTCACTAAGGTGCTGGTCTAATTCTCTAACTTACCATGAATCCCTTAGGTAGTTCTTGGCCCACTTTGAGTAGTTTTATTTTTAAATCAGGATGAAGCAATAATGTTGAGGATAATTATTAAGGCAAGTTTACGTTTCTTAAAATAGCTTGTGTGGTTGTTGACAATGATTTCTGTAGATTTCCTTAAGAACTAACAATTTAATTCTATACTCTGAAATTAACAATAAAAGCTTTAGAAATTATTTCTTATCAAAATTGCGAAAAACATAAAACAAAGGTCTCTAAAGCTAGACAGGGTACTGAACAAGCATTTTCTTTCAACACCATTTTATTCAAGTATCATTCTAAATTAGAATCGGTATTATCCTCTGTGTTAAATGAGAAAATACCTACGGTCCTGCTAAAGGAAAATTCAATCAACACAACTCTTATTTTCACATTGAAAGGAGCCATTGTTGCCAAATTATTTTAGTTTTCTGCTAGTATTTATCATTTAGATGGTATATATTTTGTTAACCATGACTCTAAGAAGAGTTGACCATGAGTTTAAATTTTAAACATATTTCCTAGGCTCAACACTTTACTTTTAGAAGTTGGCCAATAATTTTCCTAAATTAAAATGAATTTTGGACTTGCTTCCTCTGCATATACTGGATTTTGGCGCTCCAGTCTGTTTGGACTCTCACCTTTCCTGGACCTGGAGGGAGGAGGGAGGAACTTGAACTTCCCACAGGGCAGGAAACCCTGACTGCTCTAGGGGATGGAGAGGGAGGAGGAGAGGGAGTGGGGGGAGTGGGAGGGTGTTGGGAGGAGGGGCTGAAATGGAAACTTTTATAATTTAATAAAAAAAAAGATATCCGAAATTTAAAAAAATAAATAAATAAATAAAATGAATTTTGGGGGGATGGGTATCTTTCTCATTTCCCAAACAGTGATACTTTCTATTCTCACAGATACTACCATACAAGTGATTTTCTTCTGAAAAATCTTGATCAAAGTTGACTGTGATCAATTTTCTTCTATGTCTTGCAACCAAAAATATGCCAAATAGATATGATTCCTCCCGTTACTTAAAATTACTGCACTTGGCCAACCACTGCCAAAAGTCAAACATGAACAGTGAAGTAAACTGTTAGGGAAACCGACAGCATTGTAAAAATGTTGAGCTTCTAAACACAAAAACTTCCAAATGACTTATTTAATATGCATACCATTTACATGTGAAAGAAGTTTTCATTGAGTTTTGCAGATGTGTTGAAACTGAGAACAGGTAAACAAGAACACATCAGTAAGCAATTTCACTTGAGTAGTTCTGGAGAAGTCCTGAAATGCAAACTTCATGGCTGATGTTCCATAACAGGGAAAATAAGCTTCAAAGAAAACAGATCTTTAACTTAAAAAAAAAAGTGATATTTCATCAGAGGGCTTGGAAATCTAGCATTAGATTTTAACTCTTTAAGCAAAAGAAAAGAAAAAAAAGGAATTTATTGTCTGTATGCTGAAAGTCTGTTACAAGCAAAGAGGATGTGAGGCACCAATAGACACCAATAATTAACCATTCAGGCTACATTGCCTTGTAGATATCTACACAACTGGGCCAAGTTGCCTATGCAACTCACTTTCACTGTGGTTCATTCAAGTGCTTAGCTATGCAAACTGTCTTTGTCAGAGAGGTCCACATTTCTCCATCTGTAAGAATATCATGATGCAGAATGGTAGCCCTAGGTAATATAAAGATTTTCCAATGTCTTTTAGATACCACGAATTAAGTTGATTCTACTGAGTGTTCATGTTGGAATGTTAGAGAGCCCTCTTGAAGAAAACCTACTTTTGTTCAGAACTCTTCTTACTAGAAATCTGATGTCATCCTAGATTGTTTATTGGATGTCTGAAAGGTCTACAGGATCTCATTTGAAAGCTGAAGATTCTCATGGAATATCCACAGAACAAGAGACGTAAAACCATGCCTAAAAACAATTATGAACAAAACACAATACAACTTGGAACAGTCAGTTTCCCAAACACTCTGATTAACTCGCTTAATAAATATTCTTAGTAATAATGAGTGTACATCTACTTACTGAAACAAGTAGTAAGTAAACGCCTGAGATCCAAAGCTTGACTGATGTGTGTCTAAGAGTAACCGTTCCTTGCATTCTCAACTCCTTGAAGACTGACACCAGTATTTCACATATGATCTTCAGAAACTGATGACAAAAATAATAAGAATTTGAACTTGAAGGCTGCCAGAGAAAAATCAAGGAATTTCTAAAGTAAAGTGTATACACAGTAATAATATTATAACAAGTTTTATTAAAGAATGAAGCAGTAAAAGCAGTGGATGAAGATCTCTGCAAGATGCCCCCGAAGCATCCCTCTTGCCCTTCAGCTATATTTTTATATACTTCTGAGTAGAAAAAAGTGGCAGGTCTCAATAATTACAAAACTGTTGAAATCATGAAACTGCCCAAATGGAAAATATACAGTAATCTGATCTCAACATTTTGCATTTTAAGAACAGTTCATACATATATAAATAAGTTAATATGGAAATTTTCATTAGCAACTACATAACTTGTTATGCGATAGTTTAGCAACATCAGCAAGAACAATTGCACAAAAATGTTTCACAGAAGTATATCTAGGAAAGAATGTGGTAATGTGATACTTTTATAAAGAATGTAAACTTATCACATAGACTTAGAATGTATTGACAATATCACACCCCCAAGGTGATGACTACAAATATAATAGCCAAAATTTATATTATTCAAGTCATTGTACATGTCACTGATCAATAAATAACTGAAAGTTGAATTTAAGGGAGGCCACAGAGAAGATCATCTCCAAACCTACAAACCTGGAGAAAGGCAACTTTAATCAGCTTCTACCTGCTGTTTAAGCCCTGGATAATATAAGTAACATTGCCAGTTAAGAGTCTAGCTGGTAAGTATAAGACTTCTAGGGCACTATCTTTCCTAGGTCCTTCTCAAGGTCTCATTCCTGTCGTTGCCTAATTCTAAAGCCACATTGGTTTAGAACACATCCTAAATAAGACCTGAAAATTGAGTTGCCACCTTCCATGTTATATAAACTTCAATACAGAGGTGCACATGCAGCAAAAATTCTCAAATTTGGGTTATCTATCATTGAAATTAACATTTAAACCAAAATATGTTCTCTTCAATAGGGAGGAATCTTGTGGCACAAGCATTTATGTGACAAAGCTTCTGCCTCTTCCTTTCCCAGGAGTTCTGAGTTCCTCTTTGAAACATCCCTAGAATCTGGGCTTCATAGAAGCTGAGTGCCATATTAATGTTGACCATGTTACCACACACCCAATTTCTGCCTGTATATTCAAATATTTTTTTTATTGACAAACTCTGGTGAATTCCGAATACTTTCTATTTTTCATACTTCCAGCATGTTCTGTTTGCAACTGTCTTAAGCACTGTTCTGTTGCTGTGAAGAGACACCACGACTGCAGTAACTCATATAAAATGAAGCATGTAATTGCAGCTTTGCATAGAGTTTCAAAGGTTTAGATCATTATCATCACGGTAATGACCAAAGCGGTATGCATGGCACTGAAACAGTAGTTGAGAACTATATCCTTATCTGCAGTAGTTGAGCTATATCGAGAGAGAGAGAGAGAGAGAGAGAGAGAGAGAGAGAGAGAGAGAGAG